TCTCTCCTCTCTGAATTCCCATCACTCTCTCATCGCTGCTACCTCATAGAGAACTTGAATGTACAGGGCTCTTCAAGGGTGGAGGCTCATTTTCCCTTAGTCTAGATTGTAAGTTTATTGGGTACAGAGTTTCCTTGCCCCTCCCGATAGGATCTCAGAGGGTGCAGGGCTCCGCAGCGGGCCCTGCAGCAGCACTCTGAAGACGCGTGAAACCTGTATAGAATTAACAATCTGAAGTTTAGAAGGCAGCTGAGCATTCAGGCACAAGGTGGCTGTTCCTCATATGCAACTGGGAGGCTTCCTTGGAGGTAGTGGCATCTCTCATCATTACCACCTGTTGGATGGCCAGCCTTCCCCTTTGGATGACAATGGTGTGGCATGCTGGAGGAGGTCTTTTGAGTATTTCCTTTTGAGGCGAGAGGAGTGATGTTCATGAAGGAAGGTATTGGCTGGTTTCCCTCCCTATAGTCAAAAGAAGGAGGTCCCCAGAGCCATTGCTTGAAAAGTTTGGGGGTGTGCACATTGTTAGCATGTCTGCCTTGAACTCAGGCTTGCTGAATTGTCCTGTCACCATCAGAGAAGGACGAGGCTGTTGTGGGAAAATATGAAACATGAAATAGATCTCCCACACCTTTGTTCTGGCCCTCTTGAGGACTTAGCCCTGTCTGCCTATAATATTTCTACCTAGGTCATCTATCTATCATAAGGTGAGCTGTAGGAGCACACTGGAGGAAGGGGCCACGGAGGAGAGAGGCAAGCACAGCCCTGGGAAGGAAGCAGCCTTCATACAGAGGTGGAAATTGCCCTGCCCAGTCTTTTTGCTAAGAGTGCAGCCAGATGGGGAAGATGAGGATGGGGCTTGGGTGTTCTGGGGACTCAGCTAGTACAGGGAAGTGACCCTCACTAAAGGGGAAAAGGAGCCCAAGACTGGCAATTCAGAGGGTGCTAAAGTGGGAGCTCCCTCTCAAAGTGAACTAAGCAAGCTCCTTGGGCTTGAGTCACTCTTCAGTGAGGCCAGCTGGGACCCACGTGTTCTGCATCGGTACTGTTTAGAAGAGGCAGTGAGGGCAGCATTCTTAGCTGCAGGAAGTCTGCTAGGCAAACCTTACTCCTCTCTTTGGCTTCCACACCTCCATCCAGAGCCACATTTGAATAGGGAAAAAAGGAAAAAGATGGGAGAGAGCAAACCTCACATGCCCTCCACTCCAGGTCCCTGGAGCCCAGCCTGCTCTCGTGGGGCCTGAATGGAATATGAGGCGAAAGTTCTCGAATGATCAGAACTGAGTCTTTTTAAGTGAGGCAAAGCTGTTTTAATAAGTAATGACTGAAAAACTGAGAAATTGACGGAGGAAGGTATTGAGGGCTTAGCTCTTCAGCAGGAAGGAGGATTCCCAAAAGCATTATGGAGCAAATATTGGTAAACAGCAGCTACTTTGCATTTGTATGGCCAAGGACAGACTTGTCAATGAGACACATTACTTCTGTGGTCCTCCAGGGATGGCTGCTGGGTTGTTCCTGTGTGGAATTACCAAGACATCTCTGCCCAGGCAGGCTGCCCTCTTTGCGTTTCACAGCCACTGAAATATGAAGAGTCTGAGGGAGATGTGACTTGCTCATCTGGCAAGATGTCAGCAACTGAGCCAGAATGCAAACCTGGGCCCTGCTTTTTTGAAGCCATGCAGCTCTCATACACTGAAGCGCTTCCTGAATGCAAAGGACTTCACAGAGTTCTGTCCATACTGTCTCACGAAGTCTTAAAATGTGACTTGTGTGCCTTTGAAATATGGAATGAAGTTAACCACCTCCCCCAGGGCTCATATTCTCAGGAGCATCGGACTCCATGAAGCAGAGGGTGCCACCAAGTCAGAGTGAGGGTCTCCAAATATTCAGTGTCCCCTTCCTCCGCACCCAGCACTGGACTTTATCCTGTACCTCTTTTTCCCAGTAGCTGCCTGGGTTGTGTTTTCAAGACTGATCCAGCCCTATGATCCTTCCAAAATCTGTTCCCAGGCACATTCACAATATAAGTAAACTCATCTCCAGAGTCCTGCTTGGCAGGAATGACTGCAGCGTCTAAGCATTTGCTTAGAGCTTGAAAAGCCAGGTGGTGATGATTTTAGAAACAACAGAACTGCATTTCCTTTGGGCTGTTTTCTTTCTTTTTGAAACCTATTTGGAGCATTGATTTTTGACTGTGAAAATATAGCTGGTTCCATGTAGCATAATTCCTTGGAGAACTTGAAGGGTAGGATGCAGGACAAGTTAAGCATCTGATGTCAGAAAGGAGCTGGCTGCTAAGCAGAGGGTATAAAGCTGATGACAGAGGGTTTCACCTTTCCATTGGGGAGAACTTTTATTTGCCCTGTGTGGTGGTGGTGAATTTCTCAGTGACATATAACAGAGACAAGTCTCATATGAAAATGTGTCCTGTCCAGAGCAGTTGAGGATTTCTACCCTGCAGAGCTCCAGTCCTTGGATCTGCTCTGTATTGCTGGTCAAAGGAACTCATGCACTTGCCATTTTGCCTTTGTGTTCTACATTTTCATATTTCACCCTTAATTTTCTTAGGAACAGAGCAAGTGGGATTCTCGAAGATCTGGAATGGCCTCCTTTGGGGATCCCATAGGTAACGTGCACGTATTTCATAGTTAGCAATACAGTGGTACCTTGGCTAGGGAACTTAATTCTCTCCATGATTCTGGTTGAAAACTGAACTAAGAGAACCAAATCAAATTCAATAGCTAGGTTCAATGTTGACCTTTGGGGAAATTTGATTTTGTTTGTTTGTGAACAAAACCATGGAAAAAATTAAGTTCATGAACCGAGGTACCGCTGTACCAGGACTTGGGAAGGTTGAGACACTATTTCAAGGCCCTCTAGAAAACAAGCCAATCTGTTCTGTGTATTAGGATACATGTCTCTTAAGTGTTACGGGAGCAGTTCTATAGCAGTAGTTCCTAAAGTTAAAAAAAAAAAAAAACAGGCTTTGAAAAATAAGTATGTTCTGAACCCACGTTAAAGGTCACAGAAAGAGCTGTGTTTAATCTGGTTGAACAAAATACTGGAGCTCATGACTAACCCTTTCACAAAGGTTGGGAAAGAAGTTATGTTGGAGTTTTCGAGCTGGATCAAGATGGGTGAATGTGTATTTGGTTCAAGACCCTGGTGGCAAAAAAAAAAAGGCTTTGAAAAATAAGTATGTTCTGAACCCACGTTAAAGGTCACAGAAAGAGCTGTGTTTAATCTGGTTGAACAAAATACTGGAGCTCATGACTAACCCTTTCACAAAGGTTGGGAAAGAAGTTATGTTGGAGTTTTCGAGCTGGATCAAGATGGGTGAATGTGTATTTGGTTCAAGACCCTGGTGGCCCTTGGCAGCTGACAGGACATTCTGAAGAAATGGCATTTGGGTTCTCATCTAAGTCCTCTGTTCTCATTGTGTTAGCTGAACAACCTGTGCAAACAGATCTCTCAGGGATTGTTAGCCATTGAAGCATGAATCCCTTGACTCCAAATAAGAAATAACGTTTTTCAGAGCTTTAGATTTAATGGAGGCAGAGTAAATTTTCCATAATTTGACCACTTTGTTTTTGAGGGATAAAAGTAGCGAAGGAAAAGAACTGGATTGTAGGTGTGAAATTCAGGACTAGCACTTGGGTGCCCTAAGCAACTGTCCTTCTTCTCTTCTGTTTCCATCTGAATTTTCAGTGCAGATAAAGTTCAGCTCCTGGGAGAAACCACCACCACTTTTTCAGCTGTTTCAGCATCTTTCACATCAGGACAAAGAATGTTGAAATTGCATTTTCTCACGATTTTTATGCCAGAGAGAATAAATCATGTTGCTTTGCAAAAAATAAACAATCACATAAATAACCAGAGTCAGGCTAAAAAGGAATCCCTAAAGCCCCAGCAAGCTGGCAATCAGGACTTTAAAAGGGCCAGGTATACTCTTTCTCGACCACTTCAAGCCCCATAGTTGAAAAGACAATGTAGAGCTGGTGTGAGTGCCATCTTCAGGGAATATTGATCTGATGAGCTTTGATCTTCTGTGAGCTCAGCTGTAAACTATGACCAGGCTGTACACGGGCGCTAAGATCCAGGGTGGCAGGGGCATGAAGAAAATGGGTCAGTTATCAGAGTGGGACCCATAAGCTGAGTGTGTGGGGTCTCTAAGAGGCAAGTCAGTGGCAGAGGTCTACCTGCCCAAAGTGCCCAGGTGAACTAGAAGTCTAGCCAGTAAAGTAACTAGGGTGTGGAGGTGAAACCAGCCAATCAGAAAGAGGGCTGGCAAGGCAAGAGAAAGCTGCCTGAGCTCTGTCCATGGTGTCTTGTAGGTGACTCCGAATGCTGAGGATTGGGACTGAAGTCCAAGCCGCCCACGCTGCTGGGTCCTGGCTGGTGGTTTATTCATCTGTACCTTGAGCATCCTCTGAACATCATGAACCGCTTCAGGCAGCAGGGATGTCCTGAGAGAAAGCCATTCCTTGCTCTCCCAGGGTTTACAGATGCTGGGAAGATCACAAAGGAACAGGGCAGAGCCAGTACTGAGGAACTCACTGGCTATCAGTAGGAGCTGCTTCAGTGCTGTGGAAACCTAGTTCCAGCCAGGGGTCTAGGAAGCAATGAACAGTGACCATTTCTGTGTGGAACACTGGCTCAGTTCCTTCACATTCGATCTTGTCTAACATCTAAGTCTTATCACAGTTGCAAAAAGCAAGCATTGACATTCTCATTTTGCAGAGAATGAAACCAGGGCTCAGACAAATCAGATTACTGGATCAACATCACAGTAGCAGCAAGTGCTGAGGGTGGGAAGGAAGGATTTGAACTTGGGTCTGTGTTGACTCCATGGTCTGATCTTTTGAATATCTTAAAGCCCACAAATGTAGAACAAACACCCCAGAAACATTTTCCTGTTGGGATCGTTTTACCCCAAAGCACATGCGAGAAAGATGACAGAGGTAACAGCAGGAGACAGAGGAAGAATTAAAATAGTGCTTTTAATGTAATTTTCAGCAATGTACAGTAATGTACTTTACATCACATTTCTAAACTGCTCATCTGGAAAATATAAGCTGCAAAAATACAGAATATCACACTCAAAAACTATTGAGTATGTGCTTTTGCCTCCTCTACTCTGTGAAATGGGGTGATTTTTACCCCTCCTAGTAAAATCTAACTTTGGCTGATTTCTTGGGAGCTGTTGGAGCCCTCGATCAGAGAAGCATTCCCAAGGGGGGTCTCTAAAGCAGGGCAGCAAGCCATCCCCACAGAAGCAGAGGAGGGGTAGGCAGGAGGGAATGCACAGGAGGTCAAGCTTGGGACCCAGAAACGACTACTTCTGAGGGCTACCAGAGGCGGACTCTCAGCCCCGTCAGCTCCTTAGTCCTCGTCAAAGGCCAGTGCGTGGGGCCTCAAAGGAAGCGCGCATTGGAAACTCCACAGGGGCCCCCTGGGCGCTCAGGCAGGCAGAGCAGCTAAGTCAGGCCTGTGAGGTCTGTGGGTGGTGATGGGCTGCTCTCTGCAGGAGGAACAGGGCCCTCAGCTTCTCACAAAGGAGTCTTCTGAAGGTGAGTGTGACTCGGGGCAGGTTTTCTCAGTCTCAATGTCTTGGTACTCTGTGCCTAAAGGGGAGGAGGGAAGAAGAGCCAAGAGGAAAAAGATCGGTCTTTTCTGCGTTTCCTACTTTGTGTTAGGCTTATGTCATAGCAGCATGGCTTTGATGGAGAAGAGCAGGAAGCTGAAGCAATAAAGTGCTGGTTTTCACTCCACGTAACCCCAACAGGACCAGATTTCAAGCCCAAAGCCCCCTTTGAAGGCCAAATCTTTCTGAGGATATTTATCTACATGTCCATACCAACACCCGGGTAGAGGTTTCTTTTATGGGATGAGTAAGACGTATCCCAGTTGTTAGCCTGTCATTGTCTTATCTAAGTCACCTACAGACAGCCTGTGCCCTAGGGTTCTAAGAGTCACTTTCAGTCTCCAGTTACTACTAATCGGAGTCCCAGGGGAACCACTTGACATCACGTCAGGACTTCTCCAGCATCCCAGACCAGTCTGTCATCCAGCCACAGAAAGTCACCCTGCGCTGAAAGTTTCCTCATTGGAGCAGGTTTTTAAGCTGATGCCACACTTCCAAAATAGATGCTGTGGCTTCCTTTAAAAGGTATTAAAAGACTGAACTCATCCCTGTGACGATGGTAAGCCACGTAGGTCTCCTTGACTGTGACATGTAGCTTTCCTGTTCAGTGAAAGGAACAGTGGGCCCATAAAAGTCCCTGTTCATTTATTTGTCCTCTTTAGACTTTGGCCTGGAGGTACAGAAGGTGACGGTTTGGAAACGTCACTTCTTTATTCAGGTTATTGAAGCTGAGACTTCTCTTACAGAGGAAGAAGCCCATGTGTTCGGGCAATCTGGAGCCTCCTTAACTTTGGGAAGGCTCAAGTTCTTACAGCCTTGGGGGTTCTCCTAGAAGCCTTTGGTGGGGAGATGTGGACAGTGGGACAAAAGAGAGAGCTGGGGTTGGTTCTTGCTCAGTAGAATGAATAAGACAGAGGATGATGTTTGGCTCTGAAACTTCTGCTGATAAGGCTAAGGTTGAAGAAGGAAGCAGTGTTTTTAAAGGTCTACATTGTTTAATTATTAAAGTGGAACATCGTTTTTCTCATTTTGAATTCCTGTGCCTGTAGGCAGAATTTTGCAAATTGTTCTCACCTCCAGCTCTTGGCTCATTTCTCTGGGAGACTATAGATTCCTGCAGAGGGTCCCAAAGGGAGATGCTCTGTTGGCTTTGTAAGAAGCCACATCCAGGTTCTCACGTTGGTGGTTGTATGGTGTATTAGAAAGAGCTCTGGTTCAGGAATCAGACAGGCTTTGAAATGGTTCATGGTGACCTTTCTAACTAGCTGTGTGCCCTAAAAAGCTCAGGTTTGCTGAGGTTTAGTTTCCTGATCTGTAAAGTGTAAAAAAAAAAACCAAAAAACAAATGATACTTACCTTACAGGGCAAGTGTAAGAAGGCTGCTGGGAACTGAACATTCATGATGCCTGGCACATGGATGGTAGGCTCTCAATGAACATGAGCTCCCCACACCCTTCCCACCTTTAAGGTGCCGGATGAGAGTACAATTGGCTTTAGTTGGCTTCCTCTTTATCAAAACCTTCAACACTGCAGTGTTCCAGTTCATTTTATGGCCTTAGTTATAAATCAAAGTCTCAGCAAATGTACCTCCACGAGTGCCATCTTCTATGGTTAGCATGTGTTTCAGAAAAACATTAAGGAGATGGCAAAAATCTCATTCTACAGAAGGCTAAACCTCCAGAAAATTGCTGTTTCATTTGCTCATAGTGAAAAAGCATAATCACTCCTACCTTAAGGAAAAACATTCTAAGTTTATGATTATCATCAATTTCTGATTGTTGAGCCATTATTACAAAAATAAACATGTTATGATCCTCTGTCCCTAAAAGCCTAGAATCTGGAAATAGAGTAAGACCTATCCAGCTGGGGAGCAATTTCCATATGTTTGAAGCCCCAGGGTCAGGGCCAGACTTGGAGGTAGAGCCCAGAAGCCAGGGACTGTAGCAGTATCAGGAGCAATGTGAGTGGCTCTCCCCCTGGTGCTGATTACCACACCGAGGAGGCCACCAGGGCACCCCAAGGCTTTGAAAGTGCATTTAACAATGGTATGGAAAACCTGTTTCCTCATTTCCCCTGCCCAGTCCTGGTGGAATGCCTCATATAAATGGACCACTGTGATCAGGGGTTAAGACCAGGAATAATCCAGGAAGAGCAGATGTGCCCAGAACACGGCTGCCAGTGTCCTGCCTGCTACATATGAGAGTGTAGGGCTCTTGGCTCATTTGGGTGAGAGACTTCGGAGGAGGAGTCCCTCCTGTCTTGCCCGGCAGGGAGGGAACACCGCAGTGGTTAAGGACATGGGCTTTTTAGTTACAGACCTGGGTTTTAGTGCCCCAGTGCTGCTGCTGTGACCTTGAGGAGCCAATTCTGGAAGGCTTCCAAGTCTCATTTCCCTGCCTCGGAAGATGAGGCTGGTAACAGTTCCAACTTCATAGGGTCATTGTTAAGAGTAAATGAACTGATACAGGTAATAAGCCCAGCCCAGCAGCTAGCCCAGAGTAAGTGTGTGATAAACATTAAGGGACTACTGCGATCAGCTGTTAATACTGCTTATGGATTATTTTACCTGGCAGATCTGTTAGCTTTGGCACGCCACTGTTTTGTGTTGGAGGGGAGGAGGGAGCAGGGTGGAAATCCTATTCGTGTCTGGATTCACTCTTCACTTTCTACGTATGTTCTTCATGTACTTGTTGCCGTCATTTAAGAAAAAGAGAGTGATTACTCTGGTTGAACTGCTGAGGTTGGAGTTGGAAGGCACTGCCGACAACAAAGGCGGTGGGATACTTACCTGGTTTTTAGAAATGAGACACCTGAATTAGATTCTCATGGCCGAGAATATCCTCCCCCAGGACACTTAGGGACCCACGAATCAGTCAAGGCTAAGGCGGAGTTTCAGGGCTGGGCCCTGCCCTGCCTTTGCTGACCTGCTAACCCCCGAAAACGTGGTAGTGCTGCAGGCTTCAGGCCAGCATGGAAATCAGTAGTCACTGCCCTCCCTCTCGCTGCCCCTTTATGAATAAGCTTTTACTGGATTGGGGCCCACTCATTTGTTTACCCATTGTCTCGGTCTAATCCTCCTGCACCTTCCTGGCTCCTGTCAGAAACAGGGTGTCTCTCGAGGGGACCTTTCCCTTGTACCTCCTCCTTTCTCCTGCTGTGCTTTCTGTTCTAGACCACCCTGAGGTCTTCCTGATTCTCACCACCGGAATGAATAAGCCTCACACCAGGCAGACCCAAGATCTTAACATATCTCACTGCCTTTGTTTCCAACTCACTGAACTGTGAGCTCTGGGAGGGCTGGGCACACTTTTCCACTTCTATGGAAGCTTCTGCATTTTAAGTAAAGGAATGAATGAATACATATTAATAATTCATCAAGCATATAGAATGCTCACCCTCAAATGAAATCAATCCTGAAAAAAGAATATCATGTTACCATCTGATGGCCTCTGAGAAGGAAGAGTTCTTCCTGTCCCTGGCTCTGCGGCAGTCACACATTCCTGAGGTACTGGGCCATCTTTGTTTCTCTGAATTCCCCCCTGTAGGTGTTTTTAGCCGATGTCATCCCTGGCATACTGACCAAGCACCCTGGGATGTCCAGATTTGTTACAGACCATGTGGGGGAGTCATGGTGGGCAGCTGTGCAGAGTCAGTATCAGTTCCATCTGTTCTGTCGGCCACAGTCTCCAGAAGAGGCATCAAAACCAAATGCCTCTCTTGAATATGCTGCCAGGGAGAGACTCTTCTAGTCTGCTTTGAGTAACCATTATCCTAGGGATCCAAGGGCCACAGGCTGTCATCTAGGGGGCGTTGCTCTGAGAGGTGGATTTTGGTGTGAGTTAGGCTAGATGGGGGGTTATGAATGAAGTGAGGCTAGAAAAAGGGTATATTTGCATCCGTAATGAATTTCCTAAGCTGAATTTCGCTTCACTAACATTCTAACTTGAAAAATCTAGTGTCTCTGAGGTATCTGACCTGGACTATAACCTTATGGGTAAAGAAAAGGAAACACATCAAAGTAGAGGGGACTCCAATGAGAGGGGGCAGTGGCAGGAGCACTGAGGCATGCCACTACTCTTCAACTTTCCTCTAGCTTCCAGCCAGGTAGCTGGTTCTCCAAAACCAGCAACAAAATCAGGTAAGAATAGCAATAGGTATCCATCTGTTGGACTGAAAAACTACTTGCCTAGTTTCTCTCCTCATGTGAAACAGACCACTAACAATAAAGTATAGCCAATAGAAACAGAAGCTTTTCCTGTCCTTGTCTCTCTGGACAGTATAATGAGTTGTGTTGCTTTCTACACATTGACCTTTATTGCTTAACACGGTGGGACTGGTATTTCCACTTAGAACCAATCACAGGCCTGGCTGGATGGGAAGAAACTATACTTCCCAGGACCTGAAGCAGCAGGCAGCTAAGACAGCCAGCAGCAGAACAAGACATAGGCAACCAACAACTGTTCCCTAGAGGTTTCTCTGCCAGTCCACACAGATTCTTCCTGCTTTACATGTTCCTCAGTGAAGGGTCTCCCTTGGGACGATAGGAGATAATCCATGGGCAACACAGCAGAATCTTTTTATTTAGAAATGGCCCTTTACAGGATCAGTGTAGACTGGGCGGCTGCCCTTGTGTGGGATGTTTGCTATGAGTTACTTTTTCAAAAGAAGGGGAGGGAATCTTGCTATATGTGAGGCGAAGCTTTTAGCCATTATTGGACACAAGAAGGTAGAACCACGATATCTAGATGGGTGGATGCCACTTGGCCAAACTTTAAAAATCATCACTAGAGTAAGGTGGAGGAAGACAAGTAATTTATGGAGAGAAACACTCCTTCCGATGTGGAAGATATTAGCAAAACTGTCAAACAATTCTGAGGAAGCGCCTGGCTTCCTCTTATTATTTTGCCTGTTGAGCACTACCTCCTGAGGAGGGCTGTGAGGAGAGGATTCTCTTGCTCCTTCATGAGCTGTGAGGGAATCCAGCATGCTCCGGACTTCTGCCACGGTGGTGTCCACAGGGAGTGTGGAGCCTCAGATCCTCCTCAGTGGAGGCAGAAAGCGAGGAGAAAGCTACAGGTCCTCCTACAGTGCACAGCCTCAACTGAAGGAGACAGAAAATCCTGTCCCTTGGAGAGATGCTGTTACAAATGTGTTTACTTCATATGGGGACGTAATATTGGTAGAAAACCCCCAGCAAACTCTCAGTACTTGTCTAGGAGTTATACAGAGACCTTTTCATCCATCCTGGGGCTGGTTCCACCAAGATGGTGGAGGAGCTGGAGGAAGAGAGAGAGAACTCTAGCATTCACTTTCTAGGTTTATTCCATTCCTTACATTTTTGTGCTCTGTTAAATCTTAGGGAGATCTTACCAGGACACCTTTTCACTCAAAATACCACTCAAACCAAATGGATGACCATGGGGCTGGATGGAGTTATGGAGGTACAATGGTTTACTACAGCACAAGGTAAATAAAAACTACACTGTTTCCCGATCTGTAATATATGAGAGAAATTTAAGATTTAAAAAGCAACACAACACACATGAAAACCATCTTGCCATAGGGGATTTTAACTTTAAATTCAATTGTTGATAAAATGGAACCTTTAGGGTTGTTTTCCTAACATCTTTTCTTGTTTATCCTAAAATTTAAGGGAAAAAAAAATCCAAGATGCAGAGAGATAAAAAAAAAAATCTTTTTTTAAAAAATAAAAGCAAATAGTGCCATGAAACAAACATAGGTCCTAGGGTCTCTGTGTATGCGCTGAGTTTGGAGATGTATGCTATGGTACAGAAGAGGGTGGTAACTTACTGGTAGTGTATTGTCAAAATAAAGCCAAACCAAAACCTGTATAGAATATGACCAAAGCCTTAGGAGTAACAAAATATCCATGTTTCATGGACTGATTAGAGAACTGTCCTCCTCTTTTACTAGTTAAGGTACTGATGAACTCACCACAGTCACAAACAAGAACAACTAACACTGGCAGATGGAAGGCCTGCCTGACCGCAGTCGGCCCTTCACTGCACTGTCTTCTGGTCCCCCTTGCTCCATGCTTTCTCTAGTTATGTGCTGTCACTCAGATCTTCCCATTCACAGTGCTTATTAAAAACTTGGCACACCACCGCTCTTCCCACCCTTTCCTTCCTTGATTCTTTTGTTACTCTCTGAGCAAATTGCAGTGAAAAGCAAACCAACCAACCAACTTTTGCAGTCTTTCCCACGACCAGGCATGTGGCATCAAGCAAGGTCAACAGAGGAGGACAAAGTGCAAGTGAATGGGCCGTGTGTGTGTGTGTGTGTGTGTGTGTGTGTGTACACTCTCCTACTCTCTGTCATCTTAGGGACATGGCCAAAGAAGTTTAGTGCACTGCTTTAACATGGGACTTTTGTCCCAAATAAATGACAGGGTCATTCTGAGGTTCAGCCACCTTCAAAACACACACACACACACACACACACATACACAAAGCCCCTTTAGTTCAAGGTTGGCCCTGGAACCATTGTTGATGTTTTCATGCACTGGACATGTGATTTCTCCTTGGAGCTCCTGGGTCTATTCATTACCACAGCCTGCTCAACTGCACTGTCTCTCTCTCATCCTCAGGCGTATCGCACCCATGCACACAAACCCACATTTAAGCACATCTCCTCCACAGGCAGAAAGAATGCCTCCTGGAAGGCGAAGCCTGAATATAAAAGGGCTTCCCATGACAGTGATCACTGAATCATGGGGAATAAAGCCAGAAGGCGAATTTGCAATTCATCACATTATCCCCTGTTGTTTCAAATGCGGTTCTTTCAAAGGCAGGCTGCATATACACTCTCTTTGGGAAGCATTTTTTTCCTTCTTGTAACACATTGTATATTGTTATTGCAGACTATCCAAATGAGGATAAAATGATAAAAATTACAATAGATTAAGTGCATCCCTTGGATCACATTGTATTTTTGGTGCATTTAAAAAAGGAGAAAAGAAAAAGTAACGAGCATAATAAACCCGGTCTAGAGCGCTGTGTTATAACTGAAGGGTTAACACAGATTTTAGTAGTGGTTAAAAATAGGAATTAGAGGATTATACATACAACAGTTTGAAATTCATATGCATTGTATTTTGAAAAAAATGGCAAAATGTTTGGCAAATGTAAGCAAACAACTTGGACTCGGGGCTCACCGGCTCTGAGCGGGTCAGTCATAGCCAGGTGAGGTCCACGGCTTCCTGAGGTCACTCTGTGGGGCTGGGGGAGATGGCCTTTGCCACTGTGAGGCGCTCCCGGGGGAAGGTGCTGGCCCCCCGCCCATCTTCCCCTTGGGCCGTCAGTCTTGAACATGGGAATGGCGCTGGTGATGGGTACCAATCACAGACTCCAGCTGGGAGCACCCATTAACATCGCTGAGAGAACTCTAGGGCCTGGAGCCACATGCAGACTGGGTGAGTCGTCTACAGTGACCCATATTGCGAAAGGCAGAGGAGCAGGCATCCACCCCTCTGATTTATGTGCCACCCACCCACACATGGAGGGAGAGGGTGGCACGGGGGTGTGTCGCTACTGCTGAATCTGGCAATGTTTTTAACTTGACCTTGTGTGTTTTTAGTAGACTTTTGTTTCTTGTAATGTTTCTGTTTCATATGTGTGTGTGTATCCAGAAACATCCATCCTCCAAGCTGGCCCTCACTGGGCCCTGAATTTGGCAGTGCCTGTTGCTTGCAGTGGTTGGCATCCCAAAGACCACGAGGTGCTTTCAAAGCCAACTCTGAGCCCCAGCAGTGCGAGCGCCCTCCAGGATGATCCCATTCTTTCTTATTCTGAATCCTGTCTGGATCTGATTTTGAGCAAAAGGAAAAAGTTGCGTGTGTGTGTGTGTATGTGTGTGTGTGTGTGTGTATGTGCACGCACACGTATGTCTGTGTGTTGAATGTTTTGGGGAAACCTTTTTTTTTCCTTTTTTTTTTTTTTTTTTTTTTTAAGAAAATGACCCTTTGATTACTAATACAGAGTTCAGCCCTCCTTGCGTCACTATAAAACGGATTCCATGTTTTCACACCACTCATGGTCTTCCAGGTTGTAGATAAATTTTGTCCTATGTGTCTGGTGTGCGGGCACAGGGTCCCTCCCCAGCTTGTCTAGGGTCAAAGTAGAGGCAAAGAACTCACTGGTGCTCAGCCCGCCCTCGTGGTTTTTGATGTAGCGTTTATAGTTCTTCCTCAGGCACTGCCACGTGGTGGTGTAGAGAATGAAGGCGAAGGACTTGAGCGCGATGGCAATGCTGACGTACAGGTATCTGTAGACCACGTTGTCGTAGAGGGCGCAGGCGCCCTGCTCCCCACAGAAGGTGCTCCAGAAGAGACAGGTGGAGTCGATGCCGGCCCCGAAGATGAGGGGTGGGGGGATGAAGCCTGTGAGAGGGAAAAGACCATTCGTGGCTCTGGTGGCTGGTTCTCGGCAGAGACTGGCTCCCCTGTTTCTGGCTGTGCGGATTTTCCCTCTTTGGGGGGGCACTGGGAAGGAACGTTAGACCTGGTGGCTCTGTAGCTCAGTAGTTCAGAGACACACTGGAAGAGCCAAATGGTGTGAGTTCAAATCCCAGCTCTGCCTGGACAAATTATAAGCCCTCTGTGCCTTTCTCCTGATACAAACTGATGATATAAATAATACCGTTTTTATGAGAGCACCATGAAGACTACATACATGAAAGGTATTTAGAATGGCATGTACTGTGCGCGCTGTACAGTGGGCACTAAGTGCTGGCTGCTGTTATCAAATGCAGAGCGTGAGAAGGTGCTGTGAACTCTCCATTGCTCTCTTGCCTGTGCTCCCAGGGCTGTGTGCATTTCTGGGTGGAGGAATTGCAAAGGACAGCACACTGCGTGTATCTGGTCACGCCCATAGCTTCCAAGGAGACACATGTGTGTACACACTGGCAGCTTCCCTTCCCCTAAAAATTACACAGGCAAGAATACTTTCCATCCTCAGCTGCGAACCAGCTTTAAGACTTTCACAACAGAGAGTTTCAGACACTTACACCTTGTCAGCGGAAATAGGAAGTGAGAGCTGTTCCCTATCATTAATTCAGTTCCACGTTGCTCTCTGTGTTTCTCTGCAAGGGTTACTAGTCCAGCTGCATGTTAGAATCATCCCAGACCATCAAAACCCGAGTGTTTGGAGTGTAGCTCAGTCATCTATAAAACACTCCTATGTGATTCTGGCTGCTTAGGGGTGGGAGAAATTCTTATTTGTACTACAGGGGAAGAATGTTTGAGTCATTAATACCAATTTGTTATTCCAGAAAAATACTGTTTTCCCCAGAGACCAGACTATGTTGTCAGTCACCTGCAGTGAGAGAGCTCAGAAGTGGGACTTATTGGGGCAACCAGGTAGGAGCAACTCTGAGATCCCATAGCTGCTGTACCACTCAGGGCTAGCCCTGGATCGTCTGATTTGACTTTTTATTAAGGTAGGTGCCCCTTAGAATTTGTTGAGATGTAGACGCTTAGTCCAAAACAAAACAAACAAACAAAAAACAGTGCATCTACTCACAAAGTCAAAGCAAATGCGTGTTCTGCGGGACCATAGACCCCTAAAGTCTGTCCATCACAGCCAGAAGACCTGCACTGCAGCTGTTCTGGGTGGGGGTGGAGGGGCTAGAGGAAGACACAGTGCTTCCCTTGGCCACTGAGCCCTGGACTGGGCCGAGCAGGTCGGTATCATCCTCTCAGTTTTAAAGAGGCTGAGAGAACCCCAGCTCCCAGGTCAGAGGCCTCAGCATTACTCCTTAAGAGCTCTCCACCTCCCATCACGAGTTACCCCCAAGAGAACTCCCCCGACACTGTGAACTTCTAGTTGTGAATCTCATGAAACTTCCCAAGCAGCTTGATTTTATAAATAAACTCCAAGCTCCAAATCCTGCACAGGCTGCTCCCTCTTTCTGGTTCAGGCCTTGCAGAGTGGAAGCTGTCGTGCAGTATTCCCTGTGGTTCTGAGGCTGCTCGGGAGTTGGAGGCCTTCCCTGAGACCCTGTGTGTTCTTCCTGCTCCCCAACCAGTGCCTTTCTTCCTTTCATGGAAAAAGAGCCAGGGGGAGGAACTGCCATGGCAACTGCATAATAGAAACTAAGCCACACTCCATCTAGGTAAAGAAATGAAGTGGGGCCGGTGTAAATTACAGAAAAATCCCATGGATGGATGGGACTAATTGGGCTCGTCCCTGAGGCACAATAGGATGAGGCAAATCCATTCACCTTTCCATTTTGCTGAGCTTTATTTTGTTGGGATTAGTTCACAGCTGCTCTTTCCTCCTCTTCCTTCTGCATTCCCTCTGTCTTCAAGACCCAGCATGGGGCCCTGAGGAGCTAGGACTATAGGGGACACTTTGGTGAACTCTCTGCCACAAGAAAGGACTGACAGTTGTGTGCTCTCTGTTCCACCATGCATGAGTTCATGGACGTGTGAAGGTGTGGGAAATTAGGTCTTAGTTTAGGCACATCCAGGGGATGTGCAGAATACTAAAGAGCCATTTGTTGGAGGCAAAATGCCCTTCTACAGTGCCCAGATGTACTTCCTCATGTGCCTGTACCTCAGTGATAAGTTTTATAACATTCAGTTGCCTTTAGAGTAGAGACCACTATATGCTAAAGATGTCTGCTCCACCCTGTCTGTTGTTAAGCACCACTCTCAGAAGGCGAAGCCTCCAGGAGAACTAGAAAAGGCCTTCATATACTGTAGTTAGCAACTATAATGCTAAGTGCCTATCAATGTTTATCATGCTATACCTAATATTTTAGAAAGACTCTGTAGAGGAGATGAAAGAATTTTTTAACGGAAGGAGCCCAAAACTGTGGGATAAGTCTCTTGATCATTCAGTACCTTGGTTTCTTCAACAGGGAGCTAATACCACCTGCATGGTCAAGGTTAATGAAAATACCACACAAACAAGGAACCTAAGTGTTCTGCGGGGCCCTTGCCCTTCTATGTGGCCAGGGCTTTTGCTAACTTATTCACATTATCCAAGGGATTTGGGGTGACATTTTAAAATAAACTCTAGGTTGAATACCTGAAGTAATTCCTTTTATATTTCTGGATAAAGTATTGGCTTCCTTTTCTGCCAAATTCATCATCTCCTTTTTATTGACTCACAATCCTTTCCCAAAGGAGAACTCTATCTATCAGGCCCTAAATTCTAGGTGTGCCGGGAACGCTCTAGATGAGGCTCTCGATGGATGATTCTCATTAGAGGCCTCTGCTATTCTGGAACTCATCTGATTAGTTGCCAAAGGGTGTCCCATGCTCCTGACTCATTTTCACACCCAGCCACTCATCATCACATGGTTTATCACTCTGGGACTAAATAAAAGCCCAACCATTCCCTGCAAGAAGCTAGTTCCCCCAGAGAAGTCTCCGGTGGGAGCCTTCTATGCTACAACCAGGTAATAAGTAGGCCATTAGCCTGCTCCACCCCTGCACTGTCTAGTGTTCTACGTGCACAACGAATTCTCTCCACAATTGCCTTTCTTCCCTTTATTTTACCTAGAAAGACACTGAGAATGGGGATATTATCTGTCCTGGGCTGGATCAAAATCTTGCGATTCCACTTTATTCTAATTCAAAGTTTGTTGACTGGAGAAGATTTTAGAGCTCTCGTCGGGATTTCCGGGGCTGCAGAGGACATTTTACCTTTCTGCTAAGCTTGTAGAAGCCCTGTTTTGAAGCAGGAAGGGAGCAGAGCATGCAGGAGTACTGATCTTTGGGAAGTAGGAGCCCTTCTTTAGGGCTGTTAAGTAGGCTGGGAGCCTTATTTTGTAAACAAGCTCTCTGAGTTTCTGGCAGAGAGCCTCTGGTGATACTGGCAGATTTTTGTCAGCAGGGAGAGACAGGAGATGTCACTTGTCCTGGGCACCCCTTTTGCAGCCAGGGCACTTACATCTGGAGGTTGCTTGTGATGGAGGAAATGGGAACTTTACAACCAGAGACAACAGATGCTGGATTCTGATTCCACATCTGTGCCCTGGAAGCTCTAGACCCTGGGTAAGTTATACAACCTACCAGAATCTCAGTCTCCTTGTTCATAAAATGGGCACAATTATACTTTCGTGAAGAGTTTCTGTAAGGATTAACTGAGATACCTTTGTGGAGAGTTCTCAACAAATCTGGTTTCCTTTGGGTTCTTACTTAGTCTTTTCTCCTAAAGCCTCTTGGCTAAGTAAAATCGGTCTTCTTTTAAATCTTCACCTGCACAGGTGCAATGCTGCATGGCAAGAAACCCTTCAAGTCAAGATTTAGTGAACAATGTTAACTGGCAAGAACCCTCCAGGTCTTAAAAGTGAGTCCACTCTGGAGGATAATCAGAGGCTCCTGGAAGGAAGGCCAAGTGGGTAAGATGTACTTTAGTGTCTCTTCTTGGTTTGAGTGTCTTCGACCCTGGCATTTGCAAAGTGAACTTTCTCCTTCATTCTCTTCTTGTGTGTCTCTTGGGCAGGAATTTTTCAGGCAAAGCAGACATTAGTAAAGCCCCATCAGGAGGGAACTGGGAGCTCATCCTATGTTAGAGGGATTTGTGCAGACCCAATACATGGGGTCTCTCTGCTATTATGGAGAATATTAAAGGGATAAAATCTCACTTCTTATACTCTGGCTTCAATTGCAGCTATATATACATTTCAGTGAAAAAACTGTTGTGTTGTTTAAAGAAATTGTCTCTGTTTTCCTGAAATCTATTAACAGAGTTTAAACCTCAGGGCCCTATAATCTCTGGTACTCAATTCACTCCCATGGTTGAAAAGGCAGGGCCTATTTATATTCTCCAATCTAAACTTAAAAGGCTTTTGTAAGAAAAATAAATCCACGTTCCTTTATGGGACAAAATGGCAGCTGAAAATGACTGCTTCGTTTCCATTTGAAAAGATGACCACTGTTCTCCATCCTACCTGCCAAGACTTGAATTCATCGTGGAATCCCTATTCAAGCTGGTGGAATGACTGTGCTGTCCAGCACCAGCTAGAGGGGTGAAAGGTGTATTCTCTTTTTTTGGTAGGGGGATCAAACTCAGGTCCTTGTACTTGTGAGACAGATGGCGGCACCACTGAGCTAAATCCCCAGCCCAAAAGGTGCATTCTTACAAAAGATTAATGCTTTGGTGATGCCAGGAAGGACATTGGCCTGTTGATATCAGCAAGCATCTTCCAGGCACACTTGACATTCACTTGTCTTAAATCTGAGCAGTTCAGAGCAGCTGCTCTCCTCTCATCTCACTCCAGGGCTCCTTGTTAAAGTCACAAAGTCTCCAGAGCTTAAACCGGTTGCCAAAGATCACCTAGAAAGGGATGGCGAACCTATGGCACGTGGGCCGCAGCTGGCTGTTTGCCATCACTGAAAGCTCTGGACTGTTCGCCATCGGTGATGGC